ATTTGATTGTTGAGATGAGTTTGATTGTAAACCGCCCGTATTCGATACTACAATAGTTGGTGGTAATGTCGGTGGGGTCGGTGTATTCGGCACAACATCCGGAGGTGGAGGTATACAGGACGGTAGTGAACAAGCTCTCAAATTACGTAAACTAATTAACCAACCAACAGCAGATGGTAGAACAACAGCTATACTACTTCCAATTGTAGGATCTTCCAATTCGAATTGTGTAATTGACTAGATGTATGTGAAAAGAAAAAGATTTTTGGAAAAGTCAGTCATATATTTAATTCATTTGTGATGCATGAACAATTAGCTAATCCAAAGTGACTGAATAAGAAGGTCACACTGTACTAATCAAACTCCTCTCAATAACATCTGCACGTGATTGGATAAGAAATAGCATTATTTTCTAAGGGATAGGCATATATATATGTGAATGCTTATGTATGGTAATTAGATTTGCTCAGTAAACTTCCTTCCCCACTCTCAGTCTTCTCATTATGTATAGGGATTTTGTGTATTAGTATCAGTTTGCAACATCGTGCATTATAACAATACATCTTTTTGAATAATACATACATACATGTATGAAAAAAATATACTGAAACTCAAGATCTAGAAGAAGATAAAAAGAAAGTTCCTAAAATATTGGGACCGATTCTGATACATTTCAACCAACATCTCCAATCATTAATCAAGATGATCGGCAGGACTCTTATAATGTGGTCTGCACCTACCAATATAGTCTAAATAATCTTCAACACTGATACTACATTTTATTTTCCCCATTCCTAGTTTTCTTCCAACCGACTCCTACACCATCCAACAAAAGGAATCAAAGTAGACGGTATTTGGTTGTACATAATATAAGTATCAATAAACTCGGTCAATAAGGATTGACATTCTCATCAACTGGTTTACTATTGTTGCCTAGTACCACCCTACGTATAACCTCAGCATCGCTCACTTGATTGTTTCACCATATGCGAATAGTGATTGAAAAACATCTAAGATCAGAAATATGCAGAGCACTCATATCTTATTTTTTCAAGATAAGTAAAGAGATCAATGTACTTAACCATTTCACTTCCTCTGATAAGTGTCTAGGCGATGAAAGAGACAACATTTTGCATTTAAAGGGGGAGGTAAGACGAAGAAACAGACATGCTTGGATTATTATTCAAATCGTTCAACGAACTCTACATTATGCAAATGTCTTCATAGAATAAATTAAGAATGATAATGAATACATCACGATGCTATAACCATCTAGTTCAATGAAAGCAATACACGAATGTTTAATTTAGAGAGAATTATATATAAAACGATGTATCTAAATAAGTGTACAATGTATTAACTTACCAATGGATCAAATAATCTTATTAAACTATATGGTGGAAAATTAATTTCCGGTAATCGTTGTAATAATAAACGATTACATGAAAATCGAAATGGTGTTAATGTTTGCAATGATAAACCAAGAGCAACTTCATCCACTGTCATGTTACAATCTAAATGAATGGTAACTGTATCTACAAAAGAACAAAACAAAAAGTCATTAGTTATAATGTTATCTGTGTGGGATTATAGAGATAAGTAAAATTTCATTGAGATCAAGAACCGATCTAAGCTAGACAACTATAAAAAACATGAGAACACTAAACAGCTGTTTTGTCCTACTGTGGGACTACTTAGTAGTGCGCATACACTAATCATAGCATTAAAAACACTCATCACCACCTTAACTCTCTCTTTCTCTGACTATACCTTGTTTATTCACCAATCATGATGTTTCATGTATACCATAAGCAATATGAAGTTTTAGTTCATCCGTCTTTGTTTATAATATTGGGTTTTGAAGACTTGGTTTTTTTTTATCCTCTGGTTACTGTTTGACATGTTATTCATGTTGCTGTTTTCCCCTATTTAATAGACTATTAACTTTTGTTTTTGGTAAACTAACGGTGTTTTGACACGTTTTAGAAACAGATAAGGTTTATCAAGCCAAATAAATTGCTTGTTCTGACTTTGGCCAAACTAAGATTCAGTGTTCGACAGACTAGAGATTAGCATAGAATTACATATGTAGACAAGTACTTCTTACATCCACGACCTTGCAATCAAAAATCAGACCCACAACCTCAGGTCTCGCGATCAAACGCTTAACTTCTAAACGACTCAATCGGGATTCAATGATGTATATATCAATCTACAATATCTCCCAGCGTTTTCAGGGCTACTCTGGATTTTTTCGAGGAATATTTTTGATCACCCCAACACCTTTTGTCTTTCACAAAATAAGACTTCATCTTTGGATCTACTTGCCATATCGGTTATCCTTGTCATTACTAATACACCTGTCATCTTAATATCAATTTTAATTCTTACTTAAAATCAAGAATTGGTCTTAATTAAATCATCAATTGAAGCCTGGAAGCATTGGATGACTGTCTCATCCGTATCCACAACCTTGGGTCCGAGAATCGAATCCGGGACATTCGGTTTCGCGTAAGGACTCTCAACATCTGGCCCATTGAGCTGACATCCAATGGTATCGGTGTATAACAATGATTAATTTACTTATTACATAGTTTTCTCATGTAATCCTTTTTCGCTGTTATTATTGATCAATAGTGTCTGGATTCATTTAATATTCTTTATATACATACACAAGTACTACTGTATATTAGGGTAAAGCCTCAAGGACATTTAATCGAAAACAATATTGTTTTCATACATATATTAGTCTTAGTTCATCACAATATGCATGCAAGGATGAATCGTAAAAAATGAGAGATACGGTGGTGAAACGTATGACATATGAACTGTAATCTTGATCAGTAGTTTAACGGGGTTACGTGAAAACAAATATGATTGGACTCACTGCTTGTTATTGTAGTAAATAAAATATTGTCTAGTCTATACTTTGGTTCTCTATTATTGATTATGAATGATGTATAATCGCTATCCCCAGTCTTATTATCATGTAATAGTAGTACACTGAGGAAAAGTGAAAGTATTTTTTTATTCCCCCTGTTATATCAGTTCATCAAAAAACTAGAAGATCATGTAATTAAAATCATGTGACGTTAGAAAATTGCAGTGATGAGGACTAATTTACCAAAGACGAAACTTTCAGTTGATGATATTGACTTTAAATCTTATTGGTTAGATTGTATTCAATATCGATTTTGTTATGATAGTACTGTATATTCAAATTATAAAACAAAAATCACAATGCTACTACTACTACTACTACTACTAATGGTAGTAAATTGAATCGTGTCCTAAAATTGGAATAACCATATTTTTCCTTGGTGTTATTTTTTGTTGTTAACTAATAATTGTGTTTACATGCAATGAATATACAGCGAACACTTTATTATTTATTAATTATAGAACAGTAAGAAGCATCAATGTATTTTGTTCCCCTAAATTGTAACATCCCATACTTCAATGAAAATATTATTACCATAGTTTATGAGGAGAAGAAAAAAAGTGCAAACATCTGGGTACATTATACAAATAGTAAACAAAGATAATTGGAAAAAAATCGATTATTTCAGTTGCTTACCGAGTTTCCGAATATATATATATATGTGTGTGTACATGTATAGATATGATTTGTCAGTATAGGATTGTGGAGACTATGAGGTTTTGGATTGAGATCATGAACTGATTGATGTTAGACCACCATTGAAAACCTGGAAGCATTGGATGGCCGTTTCGTCCTATTGTGAGACTCCTCAACAGTGCACTTCCACGATCCTGCGAGTGGTATTCGGACCCAGGGACTTCAGTATCGCGCATGAACGCTTAACCTCTAGGCCACTGATCCAGTTTTCAACGGTGTTAATGTCTAACTTCAACCAATCCACGAAATTGTTCGACCATATTCCATTGTACTGAGTTAGATAGCTGTCTCTACCTGGCACAGATTAGCTCTACTGGTCACTGGTTAAAGAATTACTTTCTTTATACTCTCTCTCTCATTTTAAATATTGATTATTCTACTTTATATATTAAAACAACTTTTTAAAGGTGATGTGTTGAATTTGCAAATTTCAGTTTTTACATTGAGTGCAAAACATTTTATAGTCTTCAAGTGTAGAAAATCTACAAAGCAGCTCTGTAAGTGAATAAGATGAATGTACTTATCTGTGTCATGTTCATCGTTAACCACCAAATGAGTACACATCACTCAACAGTTTGCTATGTTCTACTTTGTGATTGTGAAATGTAGTCCTTGAAATAAGAAGGGATTTGAAGATTTTTAACATTTGTCTCTGGAACGTCATTCGTGTATGATCAAAACGACCAAATGAGAGATCTTGATACTATAAGTAGGGTACTAGGCAAATATGGTAAACCAATTGGTGAGGTTGTCAATGTTGATCGACTAGGGTTATTGAGACATGCGTTATCTTTAACCGACCACGACCTAATATTTCAAAGATTGGAGGAAAACTGGGAATGGGGTTGACCGTTATTCTAAGCCACATTGTGAGATTCAGACTAACTGGTTACAGTTATTGAGATCACCGTAAACAATGGTTTTAGATGTTGGTTGACGTTACAATAACGCGAGTGAACTTGTGCCATCAATGACACTACTGCCATTTCAAGACTGGATGTCTCACCAATATTGGATCAACTCTCAACACTAGATATTATACCTTAACAGACTCACATTATTTTGGACACCACAATGAGACTGCATCTCCTTACGTTGCTCCACTGCTTTGTGGATTAGACATTTAGATCGAAGGCTCGGAGTGTGGCCTCCTTAAGGAAACCACCTGCTTCGGTCTGTGCACCCGGGTAGTATCACAGCTCACACACAAATAACTTATTCACTGAAATTTAAGCCTTTAATATAGGGAGAGGATAACTTTAGATTGTCTAAGATTACAATAGGAAATCATTATCTCCTGAGTAAGACAAGTTGGAATTTATGATTAACACATATCCCCGATGTTAAGATAGTTGGGAGAAGTTAACCAAAAGTCCTATTTTCACATTCATCAACTAGGTGTTTTGTAAAGTTTCACGTTACTAATATCTGTTGTTGGATTTGAAATTACACAATCCAATTTCACAGTCAGAGACATTCTAGTTGAATTATTCAATTCACAATCCATCTCTTAGAGGAATGAGATATTTACACCAACCAATCAGTTGTTAGGATATGATCTCAATTTTTCAACTCTTTAGTCTTGATTTAATAATTGAATTCGTGAGTTAATTGAAGCTGATTTAATTTGGGAACTAATCTAAAAACGTATTATGGTGAAGCATTTTGTTTACGTTTCAGTGATTAAAGATAAACAACAAAAAGCTATACACTTCTCTAAATTGTACCACTTGACACGATCTAAAATTGTATCCGAAATTGTGTAGGAACTGATATGCCCAGAGTGATTCAAATCCATCGTCTATAATATTAAAGGTTGCTGACATTTTATTGCAGATAAATACAAAATCTAGAACATTCATTGTCAATTTCGCTATCTATACTTTTAGCAGGAAGTTTCATAGTAGACAATTGAATTTGGGGGTTTTTTTCGTTGTTCTTACTGTTGTGTCCTGATAAGAATAATGAATGGTAATTTTTGGGATCCATTTATGGACCAATATTATGAGTATATTTTTATCGTATAATTGTTATGCAACTAAACTGTTCATATTCATATCCCTCTTATTATGAGCTTTGTGTTGACCTATGAACTACTATTGTACGATTTACCATTCATGAATTATTCCCTGTCTGTTAATCGCTACCTCCCTCATTCATGGCCACTTCTGGCTAATTATTGTGCAACTGTTATTTTCTATTTTATTGGTACGTTGTGGTCGGGTTGATTGGTATATAAACAGAGTATGCTTGAAATACAATGATTCATATCTCAGAGGCTGAGACTTGCATTCTGAACTCAACTGACTGGGCTAGACAGGGAAGCAGGGCCAATCGGGACTCTAGGTCGTCCTTACGTGTTTTACGTGTCATTGATCCGATCGATAAGTCGCTGCCGTCAAATCTGCAGTCACACGTTACAACACTTACCCTACATGCTAACTTTCACAATTCACTATTCTAATGAGTTAACTCAAAACAACTGTCTACCAACCATCACCAAAGTCAAAATTTTCAATACAAATGTCAAGACACTTCTACTGTATGGGGCGGAAACCTAGAGAATTAAGAAAGCCATCATCCAGAAGATACAAGTGTTTATGTTGGGATATTTTCACGTCATAACAGTTTATTAACAACTGTCTACGCAAAATACTTCGGATCCGTTGACCAGACACTATCTGCAACAACCTACTATGGGAGAGAACAAACCAGACTCCCGTGGAAGAAGAAATCAGGAAGAAGCGCTGGAAGTGGATAGGACACACGTTGAGAAAATCACCCAACTGCATCACAAGGCAATCCCTCATATGGAATCTTCACAGTCAAAAAAAAAGAGGAAGAACAAAGAACATATTACGTCGAGAAATGAAGACAGACATGAGAAAAATTGGATAGAACTGGAAAGGAAGGCCCAGGACAGAGTGGGTTGGAGAATGCTGGTCGGCGGCCTATGCTCCGTTGAGAGTAACAGGCGTAAGTAAGTAATGCGCTAACACAATATTTAAGTCAATCAATCAGTTAACCAGTTCACTGTGAAGTATTCACTCTACAAAAGTCACACTTGTTAGCTAAATGTTTAAAAAAAGAGAATAAAATTATATAACTTATTACTCACCAAATTGTTTCCCATGTCCAATATCAGCTTCATGAAATGCATAAATAGTAGATATTCTAGAAAAATAAGCTTCAAGACGTTTTCTTGGTATACCAATATGTAAACTAGCCATCAAATGTCTACGTACACTTTCAGAATTACGATTTTCTGGTTTCATCCATAAAATAGGCAATCGAGATAATTCAATACTTACACGACAATCTATTTTTTAAATGAATTGTAAAACAGTTTAATATAAAGATATAATATTCATATTGAACAGTATTAAACATTTTCTAACGGGAAAAGAACAGGTTAGAATGAACATCAACCCTATACTATATCATGTAGTAATCAATCTTATTACCTATACAAAATAAGTAACTGATTAGTTAGTGAAATTCGGTTAGTATGTCAGTATATTTTGGGTCTGCCGTAGAATCGAGGGAGTACTGGTCCATTGGATTTCATTCTCCGTAACAGCACTATTCACCTCAATTGAACGAAAATTAGCAAAAGAAACTATATCCCTTCTGCTCAACAACGACACAAATCTCACTAAATACACGAAGCTTTTAATTCAAAGTCTACTAGAACTCATCGATTTATGCCTAACAACATATTTTCAATTCAACAAAATCTACGAACAAACGAAAGGGACACCAATGGGATCACCAATATCAAGACTGACCGCAGAGGCAGTGATGCAAAGACTAGAAGCCACGATACTACCAGTGATCAAGCCAAAAATTTAGATTCGTTATGTAGACGACACATTCGTCATCGTCAAAAAGAATGGGCTGGACAACACTTACAATCTGATCAACAACGTTTTCGATGACGTCAAGTTCACGATGGAACAGGAGTCAAACAACAAACTATCATTCTTGGATATGTCAGTGTACATGGTTTTGAAATATGTTTATTTATATGAGGATTAATGACTGTCTGAAAACACAATCAATGAAGTAAGACAAGGATCTATGGCCTAATGCTTGTCATCACCATCAAGCTGAAAATTATTCCAGTTTATTAAATCTATAAGGCATCAAATTCAGTTCAATTCATGGTAGAATAAGACATAACAAATTCTGAGTACAAAGTAGATTGTTTAATCAATATCAAACTTCCTGATCCTTGAGTGAAGATCGAATTCAATTGACTAAGTTTCAATACGTTTATTAATTTAAATAATTCGAAATTGCAGCACAGTTTGATTAATATTAGATGGTTGGATATAACTGCCAAAAATCATTATACATGGATTTCATGCAGGCTGGAACTCAACGAGAAAAATTTGCAATTCTGAACGAAATATTACTTACACCTAAAGAAGCCAAAACTTATTCAATCTCTCAAACTCCTATAGTTTCAACCTCTAGTTTGAAAGTTATCGCACTCTCCTCCTTCCTACTTTACTGAACTTCGATCCTTAACCGAATTACTTATATTTTCATATCCTTTTCGACTACATTTTGTTTGGTTGTATAACTCATTTTCATTTTCTTGTTGAAATTCTTGATGGGAATTCATTTCTGTTTTTTGAATAACAATAATTAGTATTATCAGTATGGATTCGAACCCAGGGCCTTCGGGATCATGGATACGCACTGCTGAGCCACACAATAGGATGAAACGGCTGTCCAGTAATTCCAGGTTTTCAATGGTGGTTTAACATCATTTGATTCATGATCTCAATCAAAAATAATAATGATATTTTCTTGTACCTCAATCTGCTTTGCTTATAGGTTACTATGTCCAGTAAATTACTATTGTTATTACTAGCGTATATATTTTTTAAGTGAAGAGGTTCTATAGAGATAAGTTCGATTCGTAAATTGAATTCGCCACAGATTGATCTTAGCTGAAATGCCATTGAAAATTATGGAGCACTGAATATGTTGTAAGTGAAACTGTTGTCACCAATAGTATAATTTGATCGCTCCATGTCGCAAATTAATTAAAGCTGAACTTATACTATAAGATGCTAGCACAGTGGTTCTAATAGTCAAGCATTCGCTATAAAATCTGAGGTCCTGGGTTCGATTTGTAATTCAGTAGTAGGTGTTCATTGCTAAGAGTCCAGGACCTTCACGTTCTATGGAGAATGCTTTACCATTCGAACCACTTGGTCCGTGGTCCCTTGGCTTTCGATAATACTTTAAATAACGTCAATCTTTGATGAATACAGACTGTATATTGAATATACTATTGAATGTTACTGTAGAGAATAAACGCATATATTTGCAACTGTACACCTTTGAGAATTAATTTGTCGTAAAATAGAATTCTTCTGTGAACCATTTCCCTTTGTTTGATATTCCAAAGTAAATGTTTCCCCATTTACGTATAACATAAGGCAAATCTGCAATAGGTTGTGTTTTATCATGAAGTGACAGAAGTCGACAAGTGAAGTGAATCACTACATACCATAAGACCTTAAGATCATATATTCCATCTTGCATCCTTGATACAACAACCCCATTTATCTTCTTTCTAACTCCGGACTAATGCAAAAGACTAATTTTACTACAAGGACGATCTTTGAGCGACGCCGAAATGACCTTGGGAATATCTACCTACTTAATAGGGCTAAATGAAGGTCATAAAGCAATTTGAAGAATAAAGACAATGATTTACAGTTGATGGTAAGGGTTAGGATTTAGATTTATGGTTTTCATCACAAACTGACATCAGCTAAAATGCCAAGACACTATTTGGACGAATGGGTAAGTGAATTTCGCGCCAAAATCTAAGACCTGTTGTCTTAAATCTGATTGGTTCGTCCAGAAATTATAGTCTTGCCGATATTGCACACACATTGAATATTGTGAAGCAGATGCTCCACAAATTCAAGGATAGCTATCTTAATCTAAAATAGTGTAGTGTTGGTTACTATGTTAAGCCCATATACTTTATTTAATTTATCCATTCATCTTGAGTCACATTTTGACCATGTTAATTATTCACTTGCCAACCTTGACTGTTTCTATATGAGCGTATGTGTTTCACTTCATATTCCATTCATCAAATGTTTGTAACTTATTTTTGTTTGACTATAAATATTGATTAACTCTTGATTAAATGGAGTTGGCTCACTACATGCCTTCTCCATCGTGTATCATTTCATTTCGTTGATCGTCTACTTGAATCAATGATTGTACAAAATATACGTATTCACAATGCTTTCTCATATTTGACTTATTTTAATTCCGTTATTGAATAAAGTGAGTTAAGTTGATAACTCTATACGAGGATAGTCAGGATATATGTATATTTTAACAATAATCATTAATACAATCTAATTGAAGTTAAATACAGGGGTTATTAAAGTGGTGAGCCCATCAGTCAGTCAGTCAGCTACAACGTAGGACCAGGCACATATATGCATCGCTCCAAGTTTCCACACCTCATTAGCACAACAACAAGAACACTGAATTCATAGAGGTAGTTAATTCAATGGTGGCTATATATTAAAGAAAGATTGCATATAGGGATATAGTACAGGAAGAAAGAATTAGTTGGTAGAAAGAAAGATATGAAGTGATTTTAATCTCACAGTTTAAGGAAAGATAGAGAGTGTATACACCGACTCCATTGTGATCGATTCTGAACCATGTCACTTAGAGTTTCCAACCATTGGTTACGATAGTCACGCGGATCTCAACCGAGTAGTCTGCATCTAACAACATGGCTCAGACTAGAAGTTAGTGACTTCAAGCAGTGATGCCACGTTTTGGTTTGGCCGCCCCTAACTTTCTTCCAACAATCTCCAACACTGGTTAGCATTGCACGTCGTGGGAATCGGTGTCCATACATACGTAACACGTGGCCCAATCATCTCAGTTGATGAAGATTCACAACCTCATCAACTGATTTATCATCATCATAATCCCCTAATACCCTGGCGTCCAACCTCACTATTACTTACCCGATGATCCCAGCAGACGCCAGCAATATTTCTAAGGCATCTGTGGTCAAATACTAGTATAGTTTACGTGTATCTTCTTCTCTTAATGGCCATGTTTCGCTGCCGTAAATTAAAACAGAACGGACTGCCGCGCAGTATACTCGTCCTTTTATTGATAGACGGATATCGCGCCTTCGCCATAGGTGACGTACGTTGGCAAAAGCCAAACGAGCTTTCAGAATCCGTACTGAGATTTCGTCAGACACCAACCCACTAAGGCTGATCAGACTTCCAAGACAAATGAAGTTGTCAACGCGTTCGACTACTTCACTCCCTATCCTTAGTTCAGGTGTTGACGCAGACCAGTCCTGAAGCAACAGCTTGCATTTAGAGGGAGAGGAGTGCATTCCAAACATTCTGGCATTGTTGCTTAGTGCTACCAAAAGACTCTGCATTTTATCAGAGTCTTCACCAAACAGGACTATGTCATCTGCATATTCTAAGTGGACCTCCTGGAAGGAGATCAATACCCGAGAATTCAGTCGACGAGAATGTTATTTCCATCAGTAGGTCTATGATGAAGTTAAACAAAAATAGAGAAAGTGAACAGCCGATAAGTATGCCTGTGTTCTAGAACCTGACGAATGGTGAATATGTAGTGGTGAAACCATCAATCACGATCATTTGTCCAATTTAATTAAAATCAAAGTATAGTATCAATCGATTTTCAATTCATAAATATAATAAATCAATAAAATAATTATTATGTAATAATTCTATCTTACCTTCTTCAAATCCAGTAAAATCAACTGATTTTAATTTACAACCTGATTGTCTTGTTAAAAAGCCTAATATAAATCCATCTAATAAACTTGGTCCTTTAACTAATGTATTACGATTACCATATTCATTTTCAGGGCTTACTAATACAAATGTTGGTTTAGTCATATAATTTAAACTAAGTGGATATTCTTCATTTGGTATTAATTGTTTTATAATTAATTGTTCACATGGCCAATTTGCTATGATACCAGTTATTGCTGAACAATCTCTTTGTAATATTGCTTCAGATAATAAATTAATTAATACAGTAACTGGTAGATCATGACATGTTAATGGAGGTGTATTTATACAATGATTATTAGTTTTATGTATATCTTTATTATTATTATTATCACCATCATAATCATCATCATCATGATTATTATTTAATGAATGTTTTTGTTTACGTTTTCTATTTTGAGATTTACAACGATCAGTTTTACATCGAGGTTCACGTGATGACACACTTGCTGATCGTCTTGGTCCTGAAGTTGATGTTTCTATTGATGTAGTCGATGAAGTAGGAAAATTCTGTGTAGGATTTGATTGTAGATCACGAGAACTAAATAAGTAACTAACTATATTACGTAATGATGAACGTCGAGTAGGTAGCATACATGGCCAATCACGAATTAAACGTGCCATACAAATTTCTGCCAAACTTCTATATGAAAAATAAATAAATAAGGGTAACTTTAATAGAAAATAGATGAATTAGTAGCTTTTTTTCTAACACAGTGGTAATACCTCTAACAGTGGATGACGGAGGTCTGAATCCCATTGAAAATATTTTAATACCTTCCTTAAGATTGATCATACAACTTGCTGGTAAAGGACATTAACTAGCTGGAAATCTAGACTCATTTCTTTCGAATTTTTGAATAATTCCTTGATGATTAAAATAGTTTAGATCATGAGTCAGTTCAAGCTAGACCACCATGGAAAACCTGGAAGCACTGTTTGACGGCCGTTTCGTCCTATTTTGGGACTCCTCAGAAACGGTGCGCATCCACGACCCCGTCTCGTGGCATTCGAACCCAGGACCGATCAGTCTCCCGCGCGATCACTTAACCACTAGACAACTGAGCCGGTATCCAATGGTGTTAATGTCTAACTTCAACTAATCCACGAAATTGAGTGACACATCCACTATCGTCATCAGTGAGTTCAAGTGGGTCAGTTGTGAGATAGTAACTAAACTAGTCTCCATAAAACCCTTTCTGATTTAAAGTGAGCAAATCCGAAAATCTGAACAGTGTTGAGTAGTGAATAGCAAGGAAATACAGGAAGTGCGTTTCATCCTGTTTTGGACTATTAGTTAAATATACTTCAATGTTTAATCCAGTACATTTCGCTTCAAACGTTCAACATTTTATCCACTTGATTAACTAAATCCAGATAGTCACAAGTTTTTGCGACGGGTTAAGTTTTTCTTCGTCTATAAGAGCTGTTTGAATCTTCTTATTGTTAATATTAAGGAATGTAAGTCCTTGGTCTTATTCAAGGGTCAAAAAAGAAATGATTCAAGAAACCCTTACAAATAAATTAAATCTATAAGTTTCTTATATTTTCTCACTGATGAATATACGTAATCTTCAAACATTATTTTGGATGTTTGAATATTTATTATTTATTTGAACAGATAAATATTGGTACAAGAGGGCACCGAATATGTATGCGCCACACATTTTCATTATCATTATATTTGTGTGTGGGCTATGATACTGCCCGGGTGCCCAGACCGAAGCAGGTGGTTTTCTTAGGGGGCCACACCCCGAGCCTTTGACCTTAAGGTCTAACCCACAAGGCAGTGGAGCATCGTAAGGAGATGCAGTCCCATGACAGTCGGTGACCAATAATTGGTTCATACGCCATTTGTTCCTTCAGGATACTGGAGCCCATGTGTACCAGTGGTTTGGGATCCGGTTAAAGCGCCAGACATTCGCTTTTCGTCCTCCCATTTTCGTAACCAACACCCCCGCCACGGAAAGGCAGTGAGTAGGACTTCCCTGGCAGAGGCTGTATACGCGTGGCCATGTTTGAATATCGTCGCACTTCTCTCAATTTGTTCCAGTAGGTAGTATCAATATGCTCTTATGTTTAGTTTATGGCTTAAGACAGATCTCATGAACTTATTAATTGCTAAGAGTTACAAATAAATCATGATGCTACTATGACAAATACAATCTCATGATTAGATGATTGATCTTTAGTAGCAAACATTTTAGCGTTTAATATTTTTTCCATATATATCCATGTATTGTCATATCTCTAAACGGTTAGTTGACGTCCAGCATGGAATATCTAACACAATACCTTAATACAGCTTTGAATCATCTGTTGATATGATCAATTGATCAAGGCTCAAGTAAGTTTACCTTCTGACTTTTGACTAATTATTTCACTTAAATATCTTGTCCGAAAATATATTCTAAATACCAAGAGCTTTTACTTCATCTATGTCATACTGATAACTCATTCACTTTACGAAAGAAACCAAAAACTGTGATTTCCTACTTGGATAGCTATTATGGATGAAACATGGTGTTGCCACCGGATGTCAGCAATCCTTCGAAGACAACGATAATCAAACACAGAGAGTCGTCTAACATCCTCAACTCGGAAAAGCCAGGTTTCACGAGTATAGAGCAGAACTGCTCTCACCGACGCGTTGTAGATCCGACCTTTTACAGCCAGACTAACATCACGAATACACTAAAGATAAGCCGCTTCGGCTTTCACTATACGTGAATTGATCTCATCGCTCATGCCACCACCAACACTTATATAGCTACCCATATACATGAACTTCTCGACTACTTTTATCCGCTCACTATCCAGGGTTAGTGCAAGATCAAGATCCTATCAGTCATGTAAAAGTATTTTGCACTTAGAAGGTGTAAATGTTAACCATTTTACATTCAAATGATCAAATACTATTTAATCAAATTCATAAAACTAGTTAATAGATTTCAAAACTTACCTAGGAGTACAAATAATTTCATTACCTTCAGGATTCCATTGTATTTCACCTGTATGTAAATCTCTTTCTAATAAATAACGACAATGTCCTACTGGTACCCATATACGATCTGGTCTTTTAAGTAATCGTTTAGTTGTAGCATAAATTGGTAATCGTCTATTATTCAATAAAAGCATAGAACTATGATGATGATGATGATGATGATGATGTGTTGAATTCCTATTTGTCATTTGTATAAATGAATGATTTATTCTATCATTTAAATGTCTATTTGTTCCAGTTAATTGTATTGTATTATTATTATTATTTTGATTTAATGATGAATTCATTGTTGTATCACCATCTAATGATTTAGCTGTACGTCGTAGACGATAAATATGATCATTATTATTATTATTTGTATATTTCGGTGATGATCTACCACTTTCTTCACTATCTTTCCATGTATAATCCACAAGTGTTAAACAACTATGCATTATTATTATTGAATATAGATAGAGATCAAAAAGTTTAAACGTTAATAAACATTGAAGTATTTATATAGATGGATATCATTAAATTATTGATTTTTTTTTTCAAAATATTTTAAATGGGGGAATGTGAATGACATAACTATTCGTTCTTTTATTCTATCTTATTTACAGACATATCAGCTTAACCAATCAAATGAAGTCATGTGATCTCAAGATGCACAAAGGATTTATTGATCGTTGAAATAGGTAATAGGGAAATGAGGAAGGGGGGAACAATGACAGTAATTTTGGATATTTTTATGATAAAATAAGAAAGTAATGTGGAGAATATGATCTTTAGAACTGTCGAAGATAAAAGTATCATAATCCTTTTGATTTTAATTGTGCTATGTTTCTATGTGGGATTCATAATCGATCGGTGGGTATAAGTAAGAGTGGGTGATTAACCCGATCTCTACCAGTCGGGTTACCGCTCACATTAGTTCATGAGTCATTCGTCTCATTATCCAGGAGGCAAGACGCGGATGTATGAGTCGGATTTTGCGTACAGGTGAAACACAATGGAGTTGGATCTTCTTTATACTACTTACTTACGCCTGTTAATCCTCGTGGTGGAGCATGGGCCACCCATCAATATTGTTCAGCCAATTCTGTTCCGGATAATCCTTTCCAGTTATTATTCGTACTTTTCATGTCTGCTTCCAATTCTCAGTGTTGTATATTCTTTGGCCTTCCTTCTATTTCATTTCCCTTCAAGATTCCAAGTTAGTGGTATTATACTCTCTGAGCTGTATAACTTCACTGAGTAGCTTTCATCATCATCTTGGACAAAATCATCAGCGACTCTACTTAATGTAACAGATGACCTATCCAGTTATTTCACATGAGTTCTATGAGTCCATTATCTTTGATTGGTCGTCTTTCTGGGGGTTTTTTTGTACTGCATTCCTTTTGACTTTTATTTGTGGTTGAATTGAAGTTCTCTCAATTCACAGTTTCGTAGTTTAGTTAATCACGATACAAATGGTGATTAGAAACAAAAAGTGATAAGGAAATAAATTGTATCAAAACTATCCTGAATTCACTTGGTATTGTTTTGCTTGTATCTTCCCATTGAGGTTTTAAGACTGCGATTGATCAGTCTGTTATTGGCATATGTGCATACTGTGCGTATGCTTCGATATTACCTTAATTCACAAGCTTTCATAAGCAGAGATGGATAATAGCTAGCAAAACAATACCGAGTGAATTTAAATTCAACCCATTGCACAAGCAAGTGGTTATCAGGACTCAGTAGCTCAGTGGATGACGCGATGGTGTTGGAAGCGAACGGTACTGAGTTCGAGTCCCAGAGTGAAAATCAACTCTGAGATGTAGGTGCGTCTGGCTGACGAGTCCCAAATAGGACGAAACGCGCGTCCTGGATTCCACTGCTAGCTACTATCCATCTTTGCTTATAAAAACTATCCTGAGTTTGAATTGAGTTCAATAACTTCATCAAAGTTGAATTGTGGTTAATAGTGAAGTTCAGAACTTTCACTTCGACCTATATAAGACTAGTTATCACAAAGTACCCTCATCCAAGTGTTGATGTTCACATCCAGAACTGAACCTAATACTTTTCTCTTTAATGTCAACGCATTACTGTCGATCCATACAGCCACCAATTTATCTGAAGGTTTTAAATTTCTCGTCGTTGATATGCACGATTATAAACAGGACCGAAAGAGCTTTCTGGATTTCATTACAAACACAATCAAACATTGATTAAGTTACATAACTCTATCGACAAAAATAGATCGATTACTATCTATTCGAACATTATAGTTTACGTCCTTAATTCTTCTTACTTTTAACTCCATGTCGAAATTATGAGCTAGGAAAATGCCAAGTATATTAAAAAAATCTTAGAAACATTGCAATTAGATAAGATGCTGATTGTTATGTCGAAAGAAAAAAGATCTGATTTTAGCCCTGGTTGTATTGGCTTCATTGTAATAAGACCGTAATGACAAGGAAGTAGTTGTATGATATCTTTTGTTCGATTACCGATCAGTCGATTAGTATTCCCAGTAGGATCGGTAACCATCTAAACACCAACTAATATATCGATCAATGAACTGTAACCAAGATGTTAACACTTGTTGCTCGTCGAGTTCATTCTAATCCACCGTTCAATCACATGGTGAAGATATAAGTAAGTCAGTTCTTTATTATAATTAATCATAACTCAAAACTACTACTTGAAATGTTTAACAACACAACAACACAATTCAGAGAATTATAATGTATACATAACTATGCCATAAGTTGTGAGACTATAATTTATGGACGACCTTTGAGCGACGTTAAAGAGACCTTGAGGATGTTCATCTCCATACTACGGTTAAATGAGGGTTATAAACCAGTGTGAAGAATTAGGGTTATTATTGACAGTTGATAGTTAAGGTTTTCAACACAAACTGATATCAGCTAAAATGCTAAAATGGTATTTACTTAAATTTCGCGCCAAAATTCAAGACGTGTTATCTTAAATCTAATTGGTTGGTTCATAAGTTATGATTTTGCCTCATAAGTAATACAAGACAATGTAACAGAAAGATAATTCATGATAAATCTGGAATAAGAAGATGAATAACAATGAACGAAAGCTTAGAAATATTGAAGAATATCAAAATACAATAATGAAAGCTCTTAACCACTAGACCATTAGGCCAGTATCCAACGGTGTTCATGTCTAACTTCAACTGATCCATGAAATTGGCCGTTCAATGCTTTCAGGTTTGTCATGATGGTCTAGCTTCAATTGACTCATGATCTTAACTATTGAAATAAACTAAATCATTAGACCATTGACTACACTTTTTTTCATTCATTACACTATATCAATGTAACTGACTAAGACAACTGGACAGGTTATGTCTTACTACACGCTAAGTAGTTTAAAGGTATTATTCCTTAAACTTAACCATTTTTCGGACTATTAATTTGAATATGTAATTGTGGAACCTGAAAAGAATTCATTGCTTGATAGTTTGGTCCAACAGTAAGTAGTCTAGAACAATGAAGAAGCACTTAAGATCAATTATTACGGCGAGACTCTAATTTATGGACGAGCCAAACAGAAGCATTCGAGAGATTTCAAGATCACAGCGCCAACTTCAGTGCTCAATGCTAACGTACGATAGGTTCACAGAGAATTTTGTTCAAAACGTGATAATTGAGTGGCTATAACAAATGAAACGGCGGGACTATAATTTGTGGACGAATCAATCTGGTACAAGATAATAGATCTCGGATTTTAACGCGAAAGCCTTTCATCTATTTGACTAAATAGATTTCTAGCATTATAGCTGATGTCATTTCGTGATGAAAACCCAATATATAATTCCTAACTAAGGCGAATTATGACAATTATTGCGAACTGGATAATAAAAGCACCAGTAACACTGGCTGCAGTCAGGTACTACAATATATTCGGATGTTTGGAGAGCGTACAGACTCCTACATAGACTTGGTTATGTGCATCGTGTCGTTATCCACAAGTAGCATTTTGTGCACTCAACAACCGGAGTGCACTTAAACAATATTGAAGCTATGTGGTTGGAGCTGAAAAAGTTTTGCGACCTTGTCATGGTTCCTGAGGCCGACTATTCTGTAGCCGTATGGATGATTTCCTCTACTGCATGCATTACGATTTTAGAACCTCTGAACCTCTTTCTAACCCTGATAAGTTTTTGAACAAAGTGTAAGAAGTGTATCCACTTTATTTCGTTGGTTTTGTATAACATATTTTTGCTCTATACTGACTGTTCACTGATTAGCTAATAGTTCTCAAGTCCACTTAAGATTCGTTCACAGGTCGTCCATAAATTAGAGTCTCGCCATTATTACTAGTTCAAGATCGTTATTATATTTCAGATAAAGGTTCATAGTAAACCCATTGAATAATTTCTTTATTATTATTTCTCTCTGCTCTTTATAATTTAGATGAACTCAAAGCAACTATCAATCAATAACAAAAAGTGTGTTCTACTGTATGGAGCCAAAAGATGAAGAACTACCACAACCATCATCAAAAGTGTACAAATATTTATAAACAACTGTCTACTCAAGATAGTTAATGTTCGTTGAGCGGATATCATAAGTAACAGTCTCCTGTAGGAGAGGGCAAACAAGCTTTCAGAAGAAGAGGAAATTAGGAAAAGACTTTGGAAGTGTATAGGACACACATTAATAAAATCATTGAACTACATCATGAAGCAGCCTGTAATTTGGAATCCTGAAAGGAAATGACAAAGAAGAAGAGCAAACATCACATTGTGTCAAAAATTGGAAACGGACATTGAAAGGATAGATACCAACTGAAAAGGATTGTCCAGTATAGATTTGGATGAAGTATGCTGGTAAGTGGCCTATGCTTCTTCACGAAAGGTAACAGACATAAATAAAGAAGTAAATAAGTTATCTTCAAATCTGTACAAAACACTTGATACTTGTTTTTGTCTTAAAGCTAAATAGAAAGAGAAAAAAAAGTGCCAGAGGCTGGATAAAATCTGTGTTGTTGTTTATATGAAAAGATAGGATCATATGATCACTTGTTGTCAGGCTAGTCAAAGTATAATATTGTTAGACAAGTACTTTGTATGGTGTTCACTTTACATTTTGATGACCTTAAAGGTCATTTATTGTAGTAAAAAGATGTACATCAAAATGGTAATCATAAAACAATCCATATCATCTGAAGTATACTGTTCAGATTATAATGAAACAATAAATGACATTGGTTTCATATGTTATCACATGGCTTGTTTGTTCATATTTTGACGGATTAATAACATTTAAAATATTCATGAAAGGTAGCCTGTAGATAGATAGATATATGCAATTCACATTTATTGTACATCCTTAAATGAGATTTCATTATAATAATACAGGGGGCGGTCAAACCAACAAGTGGCATCAGTCCTAAAAGTTACTAAATTCTAGTCTGAGCCATGTTGGTAGATGCAGACTACTCGGTTGGGG